GAAACAAAAGTTCTTCTTTTGTTTGTTTTATTTTATCTTTCAGATAAATTCATGCTTAATTTTGAGCAATCCTCCATCATCACTGGTTGGAGTCCCAGCAGCTCTAGGAAGCTGTCAAGTTTAAGGCAAGCTATCCCTTGTCTTATAATATCATTCCATTCATAGTTCCACCATGGAAGTCAGAGCCCAAACTGCTTTTCTGTCTCTCTGCATATGGTGTAGCATTTGTCAATATTAAATTTAATTTGTGCTAACTGAGAACAGTTCACTAAGCAGTGAAAACACAAAGCTTGCTGAACTTTACCTCGCCTGTGTGTTCAGTACAGCCAGCATTAGCAAACCTAATAAATTCAGCAACCTACCCAAATCTAGGTCAGCTCTGTTGATTAAGAATGTTACAGGTTTAGGAACTGACCCTATAAAATCCCATTCAATGTTTAACTCTATCACAAACTTTTGCATCTCTTGTTTTTTTCAAATAGAAGAATGTATTTGTATCTAAGTACCAATCCGTTGGGCTAACATTAAAGAGGTCATCATCAACAACAGACATTTATTGAGTGCCTATTGTGAGCAAGGCACTGTACTAGGTATGGGGTACAAAGACAACAGAGAAACAGTCCCTGCCCTCAAGGAGCTTACAATCTAATTAGTCTAAGAGACACATACATAAAAAGACGAAGGACAACCTAAGGTAGCATATAATATTACAGCACTGATTAGAAACAAACAATTTCAGCCTTGTTTGCATTTACATTTCAATACCCTGAGTAGGTGGAGGTGAGTAAGCTAGAATAGAGGGGTTGCTCCTGTTCAGTGTTAAGCCTGAACACTGATGAGAGATGCACTCTCATCTTTCTAAAGTATCTTCTAACAATTGGTTACTTCTCCTGCCTCATTCTTCAGGCTCATTATTATTTTTTTTTTTTGAGGAAGTTACTGAGAGGGTGATCCACTGTCCTGCTTTGTCTAGGACAGCTCTAGTGTTAGTAGGAAACCCTGTCTCAAAACTTCCTTCTCCCCTGACTCCAGGCCATCCAGGAGGGTACTTCTGAAGTACCTTGTCCTGTAGCCAGATTGACTCCTCCCACCTACTGTGGTCATTTAACTCTGGCAGGATCTACCCTGAATCTGTTCTCTAGATAGGTCTCTAGTTAAAAACCTGTAAGGAAGATCTTACCAGCCCCAAAGACTGCTGGTTTGGGAACACACTGAAGACAGAAGAGAATCAGGAGAGAATGATGAAGAGACAGAATGAGACTCCAGAGAAAAGCTGTGAGGACAGGGGAAATGGTTGAGTCAGTATGCAACATGCAGAACAGAACAGGAACACAGGTCTCTCAAGTAGGTCTGTTTAACAACTTAAATCTTTACTCTGGTGGAATCCAGGGCATAATTCTGAAATAAGGTCACTCTTACACAGGGCAAATACTTGAGCAGGTACTAAGTAGGTATATATGCATTTAAATAATACTGTCTTAACCTTAATAGAATTTTATTTTTCCTTCTACTTTTACCTAGTATTCATTTAGCCTCAGAATCAGTAATTTTAATTTTTGAAAGACATGTTTAATTCAAAATGAAATATTTCCCTCCATTCTAATGGAATTCAAATACATAAATGATGGAGAGGACTTCCAGAAAAGCAAAGGTAATCTGTGTTGAATAGTGTCATTTGGAATCTGATAGCAAATCTAGTAGCAACCTAAGGATTCTTTTAGGGATAGTATTGCATGTTTTACTTTCATTTATTTTTTGAAGAAAACATCAAACTCTGAGATCTCAGGACATCAGAGTTCCTGAATTGTTCTGGTTTTATGTCTAGCCCTCAGGAGCACAGACCAGGGTTAGCAAAGCACAGGAGCTTAGATGCCAAACACCCATTAATGGTAATGGAAATCACACAGCTAAGTCCCCACGCAGCACACTGAATATTTACCTCCTAATGTTCTTTTAATGTATGCTTTCTTGGGTGAATATTTACTGTAGAATATTAAATGTGAGATTCCTCTTTTTATGGGCCATTTGAAGTGATTGATTTTGTTTGTGAATTCCTGTATCTTTGCCCATAATGGCTATCTATTGTAATGGCCTCTGCCAAATGTTCTTGCGTTGAAATAACAGAAGCCATGGATCGGCCAGCTGTGGCATTGTATTACTGTGCTCTTAAAAGCTAGGAGGAAGCTGATGACATAGCTAGGAGAGAAGAAAAAGGTATATAACAAAGCAAGTATGGCTTAGGCTTCAAATGTGCTGAAATCACTGAGGTCTGTAAACATGGTTTGTAGTCATCTTTTATATCAGAGTTTATGTTTAATGGTGTTTAATGGTGTTAAGTCTGACAGTCATGAAATGATAGTGTCAAGACAGGAATTCAATTGCCCACAACCAGGTCCATCAGCACAGTCCATCAGAATTCTAGGCATTTTCTTTAATGCTGCAATAAAACCACTACCCAAGTGATAATTTCTTATACTTATTTATACCATAGTTTTGAAAAAAAAATGAACTCACATATTCTAGCTACATGTGAATTTAAAACATTTCCCAACAAAACCAGGGCCTTGAGAATATGATTGCTTTCAATTCTTTTTTGAGTATTTGATAGGGAGAAGTTGCAAAAAAGAAAAGTGGATCTATCATCATGGTATTTTTTTTCTTTTTAAAGAAAAACCTAAAGCTACACAGACATGTGAGATATTATTAGATTAGGTAATATAGTTACATCCTTACAACTATACTTTTTCAAATTTCCATAAATATAGGAGTTGTCAAAGGAGCCACTTACATCTGAGCAACATAACTTCTTCAAGATTGGAAAGGTAGCCTATAAATCAGCTGCATAAAATTCGTATGCTTTTCCTGTGTTCAGAAAAACATGGTGTGCCAGAGTCTGTGCTATGGAAGGGGTTGTGGTGGAATAAAATTCATAGTCCCTTGAATGCAGAGAAAATTTGAAGAACGAATTTCTGCTTTGAAATGGCTTTGGACAGCCTTTTTTTTTTTTTTTTTTTTTTACTGCTTTTTAACAGCTCATGCCACATCACAATAATGATAACATTGTTTTGTTTGAATACCTGGACTGTGTTTGCATTTCAACAATAGCACTCCATATACTTAATAGTACTAACTAGTGAAAGAGAATGGATTCTTTATTAATTAAGAAGAGGGAAAAGAAGTGGTAACTGAGGGGGCTTTAGTCACAAGAGAAGTCATGTTTTATAAAATAACATCAGTCTCTTATTTACTGGTGCCTTCAAAAAATTGGCATTACAGAAACTGATGCCTCTTCAGTCACGTGTAAAGAAAACGCTAGTATATTCTTTTTTTGTTTTTCTGGTGATTCTTGGGTTTGAGAATGGACCTTGTGCTTGCTAGGCAGTCACTACCACTTGAGCAACACCTCCAGTCCTTTTTGCTTTATGTTATTTTTATGGTATGGTCTTACATTATTTTTCAGATATGGTCTTGCTTTTTGCTCGGGGCTGGCCTCAGGCCACAGTTCTCCTACTTATAGTTTTCCACATAGCTGGGATGACAAGCATTAACCACTATGCCTGGCTTATTTTGTTCAGATGTGGTCTCACTAACTTTTTGCCTCAGTTGGCCTCTACCCATGATTTTACTGATCACCACCTCTTGAGTAGCTGGGATTACAGGCATAGGCCACCACACTTGGTTTTCTTAAGAAAACTATTTTTTGACCAATATTACTTATTTAAATGAAAGTATATAATACTAATTTATCTTGACTTTGAATAAAATAAATCCTTCGTATTCCTTCAGACCAAAGAACGGCAGAGAAGACAATTTAAGATTTGCAGTGAGTGAGTCTGAATAGTTCACAGGATAATGAGTTATCCTGGAATCTCCTTGTATTCTCTTCTCACAAAAGGGAAGCTTCTTGCCCTTATATTGAGGGAACATCTCAGAAGTGTGTGTGTGCACACATGTGCATACCTGTGCATGTGAATGTTATGCTTCTAAAGAAGCAAGGGATAGATTTTAACCTAGGAGGAAATATGTTTTTAACTATAGAGGGACATAAGTAGCATGGGACTATAAAATGCCTCCCTTCACAAGGTATCTGTAAGGTTCCATTTATTGCAAGGGTGAAGTCCTCAAATGGGTCAGTGAGAGGCTCATAGAATTTTAGATTGAAATGATACCTAAGAGGTCATCTGGCACAGTGACAATGTTCTGAAGAAGAGGAAACCAGGGCTTAAGAGAAATTACTCATATTAATTGTTGCTAAAGAAAACTATCTTTAAATTTCTCTTGTTGGCATCTTTTTCTTTTAATAACACAGTTTTTTGGTTTTCAATCTTGTTCTTTTGGAACATTTCTGTACATTAGAAAGTATGATAGCTGTTCTTGCTATAATTAGAGCAATTTGCCTGCAGCCTGGGGTTCAAAAAATGCAACACAATGTTTCCAAGTCAAACACCAATCGCATGCTAACAAGGAGCATTGTGAACACAGTACTCATCAACCCAATCCTGGGCCATTTCCAACTATCATTCAGGACTAAAGAGTTAGGAAGAACAAATTACCACATAATAATAATCTATAAAAATACTGGCCTAGAGTACACTAAAAAATTCTCAATAAATAAATATTGGACATTTGCTATATGAAAGTCAGTGGAGGAGATGTGCTCTTCAGGAATCACGTCCACACTTTCAGGCTGCTTTTTACAAATCACACAAACAGAGTCCAACAAATGACAAAGGTTATAGGTCAGGTTAGAATACGACTTGATAGAAAAACATCTTTTGATGGGTTATTTCTATAAAGGAATGCAACTAACACGGAGTTGCTCATGTTTCAGTTTCAAAGGCAATACTTAAAGAGATCCAAAATGTTTTTTAGCCATGACAGCATCACTGAAATGAGCGTCCAACTCCTAAGGTGACCCCTTTCAAAGGGATAACACTTATTAGGATATGTTAATTATAGCATTTGTTCTTACAAAACAGCCACAACGCCTTGTGGTCATGCCTATTTGGCATCTGTCCGTGGTGCTGAAGGAGCGAGGTGGTTCTTTGCCAGCTGTTTTGTTCCCCTTTCCTGTTTGGTGGTTCAAGGAGTTCAGCACCTGTGTCTGATACCGTGGGTACCTGGGATCATGGTTTGGCATGCTCATTCCTCAGAACACAGGTTTATTCTCAGGATGATTTATAGCAGGCGATTCCGGTTTCCAGTCTGGTTGAAAAAAGTGAATATTGAATGTCCGTGCCCAGTTCTTAAACACTCGTTTCTCGGTGATAAAGCGGTGATGACTGCCCTTGCGTCCTCGCTCATGAGAAAGGTACATTGTACATTCATCAGGTCCAAAAGGTTCATAATAATGATAAGATACTGAAGGATGGTTAGGATCCCTTGGGAGGAAAGCGAGACACTGATTAAAGAAAAAAAAACACCTGATTTTTTTTCATTGACAAATTCATGCAAGATATTAACATAAGCTGATAAACACAAATCATATCTTCTAGTCAAATGAATTTCAACAAATGATTTTTTCTGATGTTTAAGAAATAAGGAAGTTAAGATTGTGCAATAAATGTAGTGACCATCAGTATCAAAGAGATTATAAATCTGTTGTGAGACATTCAGGCTTCTAGCATGTGGCATAAATATTATAATTATAACAATTAGAGCTCTTATTTCCATTCTTGCCCCCAAATAGTCAACTTGCCATAGACAGCCATAGAGATAATACAGACAGTAGATAGATATGATTATTATTGATTACATATGATAATAATGTAATCATTATATCTGTATATATCTCTATATCTATCTATCTATCTAAAATCATCCCTTTCCCAGTACAACACTCCAAACCCTCCAGAGGTTTCCAGTTATATTGGGAGCATGACTTGTAGGATATTACATATTACATATTACATTCTGGCTCTTTTCCAGAATCTTCTCCTGACCCATACAGCCTTGTCCACTCTGCTTCAGCCAACTGGGTGTGCTGATTATCAGCTCCACCAACCTTATACCTCCATCAGAGACATGGCACCTGATGAGCATCACCTGTCTGCAGCACTCTCCCTGTTCATTTGTTCTCACCATTGGGGATCAACTCAAATGTATTCTCCTCACAGGCCTTGCCTGACACTTGCTTTTTTTGCTTCTTCTCATTTTCATTTTCTTTATGGCACTAATCTCTTCTTGAAATTGCTGTTGTTTGTTTCCCTATTTATTGTCTGTTATGAGGTCAAGGATATGTCATATTCCTATAACAGTGCCTAGTAGGGGATCAATAAATAATTTTTGAATTCATGTTTTTGAAAGAACTTTATATGCAGTTAACCACTAAGCAGCGGGCTTCTAAAGACATTTTGTCCTCCAGGTGTGGAAAGATAATGGTCCTAGTTTGATCTCATGTGAGAAAAAGGAAGACAGAAATTTTCTCCTGCTGTTCTAGATAATCCATGAATTCAAAATCTAGAGTTCTTTGGTCCCAAAATTCTAAATCCCCAACCCCTGATGAATAGCCCAACAGTTCAAGTATGTTTTTTCCTCTACATTCCCCGTATCAACCTCAAAGAAGAATCACTGACTTGACTTCTTTAAGGTGGTATGTACCCTTGCTGTACTCTTACTAAAGAGCCCTGGTGTCAGGCTAGTTTCCATTCTATACCACTCCACCCCACTCTTCCGTCTTTAGAAGAGTATATGATTAGATTAGTCAAGGTTTCCCAGCAGCCAGACTTTCTTACTTTGAGCATGCATCCCCAGGCCTTGCTTCAAAGACCCAGAAAAGAAAAGGCCCAAGCTGTCTAATTTTTTTGTGCATGGCCTTTGAGATCCTGATGCCCTGGGGTCCCCTCCAGTCACTGGGCTCTCTTCTAAGTACAGCAGTGTGGTTTCCCAAAGATGTTCATCCTGCTAGCCACCTATTCGTTTTCTTCAGAGGCGATCAATACACAAATGGCTTTTAGAGTAACAACTTTACTGGGGTCAGGGATCGAAGTCTTTTATCAAGAGAGGTGTCAAGTTTGTGGCTCTGACAACAATAAACCTTTGAGCAGCTTCTCCTCGTAGGTTAAAGTTCTTCCAGGAAGAGAGATTTATTTTTGTCATGCAGCATCTAAACATTCCTCATCCTGGTTTGGATGCTGTGCTAAATTAACTGTTCACATCTCTAATATGTCTGTCTGGGGAGACTATGTTTTATGGGGAAACTGGATCCTTTCCTGTCTAGTTATGACATAGTTCACTGATTTATCTACCTTAGAAGTGGAATTCTCTTAATATTTTAATAGATGGTGTTATTCTTCTGTTACTTTTTAAAATTAGTAGTGCAGAGTGGTGGGTTTCATTATGATGCTTTCATACTTGCATCCTTTGTACTTTGGTCATATTCATTCTGCCATCATCCTCTCTTTCCCCCCTTTCTCTTCCCACTGCCCTCAACAATCCCTCTTCTATTTTCATATCTTTTTTAAAAATCCAGTTTCTTTATCTGAGAGAAGACATGTGATGATCTCCAGTTCCATTAATTTCATTCTTTGCAGCTGAATAATTCTCCATTGTGCATATATACCACATTTTCTTTATTCACTCATCTGTTGATGGGCACCTAAACTGATTACACGACTTGGTTACTGTGAATCGTGCCACAGTAAACATAGGTATGCAGGTATGTCTATTGTGTACTGACTTACATTCCTTTGGGTATGGAGTGGTCTAGCAAGATCATATCATAGGTCCATTTTCAGTTTTTCGAGAACCCTCCCCACTTCTTATTTCCATAGGGGCTACACAAATTTACATTGCCACCAACAATTTATAAGGATTTCCTTTTCCCTGCATTCTCATTAACATTTGTTGTTGTTTGTTTTCTTAATGATAGTCATTCTGAAGGGAGTATAGAAGATGTTTTCAATTCAGAAAATGCATGCTAGGGAAAATTCAGGTTTGAACTGACTCAGGTTGGAAAAAAAAAGAAATAAGAGTAGAAACTTATGAGATAAACCTCCACAGTTTCATATACATAATATGGAGAACCATGCCAAGTTCATAGTATTATGGTATACTTGGGGTTAAGCTCTTATTCCTTCTTAAATCAGTTTTTCAATTTGACTCATCTAAGTCTTGGACATCTTGTTGGCATCAATCTCACTAAAGAAACAATTAGGTTTCTAAAAATATCATGAGATTGATTTGGCACCTAGGAATAGAGGGTAATTGGAAACCAGCTAAAGGATGCTATGGGATCAATTTCCTTATTCAGGAAGACCATCTCTTTGAATGAAAGCTTATCTGGCACCATATTGATCACCTACAGGGAGAATTAAATTTATGCATTTGGTAACATGGTATCAGAGTTGTCCAAGTGAGTCATTCATGTAAGAGCTGTTTCTGTACCTTAACACTTTGTCCAACCTGTGGAAATGTCCTCTGTGGGACTTGGGAAGGCAGAGCTGAGTATGACAGGAACAGTTCTCTGGGCAATGAATCTGTCCTCACCTTTAATCCACTTTCCATTTAGAAAGTCCTTCCTAGCTTAGGGTCATATCTCCTTAGGTTGCTTCTCCAACCTGATTCTCTAAAGGCTACATAGCTTTTTCTTCTTCCACCTGACCCCATGAAGACAACTATAAACAGCAGGATTTCCACATGTGGAGGCCATCATAAAAGGATTCTGGTGTCCAAGTTCCTGTCCAGGGTCAAGTGAAGCTTCAGGAGAGGAGGCTGGGCTGTTGGACTTGGAGGAAGATGGTCGCAGAACCAGATTTCCATGCATGCAACCTTCCATCAGCAATAGCCAAAGGCAAAATATCAGCATCAAGGGAGGCTGGATAAAGGGTATCAGAACTCTCTGTACTCTTTTGGCAACTTTTCAATGAATATAAAATTACCTAAAACAAAAAGTTAACATTTAGGCTGGGTGCATTGGCTCACGTCTGTAATCCCAGCCATTCAGAAGACAGAGTTTGGAAGGATCAAGTTTCAAAAAGTTAGTAAGACCCCCATCTCAACCAACAAGCTGGTTGTGGCGGTACATGCCTCTCATCTTACCTATACAAGGGGTATAGGTAGGAAGATCACAGTTTGGGTTGGCCCTGGGCAAAAACCACAATACCCTATCTGAAAGATTGGTAAAGCAAAACAGGGCTGGAGGCATGCCTCAAGTGGTAGAGAGCCACCCCAGCTAGCACGAGACCCTGAGTTCAACCCCAGTATTGAAAAAATAAGTCAATCTAAAAATGATACATTTTTATCATGTATTATTTTAAAAAGAAGCTCCTTGGGAGATCCTAATGCACAGCCAGGGTTGAGAAGGCTGATTTTGCAAGTACCTGCCAAGCCTTAGTGTTTAATTTAAGTGAGCTCCTCTCCATCTCCATCAGCTCTCTAAGGTGACAACCACTGCTTCTGTAGGAGCGATGAGCATGTAGCACTCAGATAGGGTCCTTGTCTGGCTTTAAGCACACAGCCTCACTCATGGGACATCCAAGTTGCCCGACTTAACCATTTCAGCCCAAAGCATGGAACTTAGGACTCCACATGCACTAGTTTATTTAACCTTAAGAACTTTCCTATAAGGAACATACTATTACAACTATTTTATGGATGACAAGACACATGCACAGAAAAACTGAAGAAGCTTCAGAGCCAAGATCTGAACTGAAGTTGGTTGCCTGCACAACCTTTACTTTTCAGAGAGATTTGTATCTTGGAGAAGTCCTGTCCTGCGGTTTCTGCAGCACATGGCTAAGAGCAGCTTGTCTTGGTGCATTCTTCCAAGCATTTCGCTATAGGTGTGCCCCGTGAAGGGCATCGACTCTGTGTAGCTGGGTGGGTGTTAGGCAGAGGCCTCAGGCTCACTTACAATTCTGTTCATTATTATTATTATTATCATTTGTGGTAATGGGGTTTCAACCCAGGGCCTTGCATTTGCTAGGAAGGTGCTCTACCACTTGAGCCACATACCCAGCTCTTTTTGTGTTAGATATTTTTTTAATAGGGTCTCGCATTTTTTGCCCAGGCCAGCTTGGAGCGCATGTAAATTCTCCTATTTACATTTCCTTTGTAGCTGGGATGACAGACCAATGCCACCATGCCCAGTTATTGGTTCAGATGGCAACGCACTAACTTTTTGCCTGGGCTAACTTTGTTCTGCAATCCTCCTGATCTCAGCCTCCTTAGTATCTGGGATTACAGTCCTGAGCCTCTGAGCCCAGCTTTCCTGATCATTAATTTTAATGGCAGCATGTATTTTGCAATGTTACATTTTTGAAAGTTCAGAAGCTAAGCTGAACAATTGGGGGTAAGCTCACAATATTAACAAGCAAGATAAGATACTTCCATTTCTAGATATTGATGAAGTTCAAAACCAAAATAAGGTACCTTGGCATTT